TGTGACCTCTTTGTTTCCTTTTTGTTAAAGAAGAAACAGCTGTTAATTAAATTGGTGAATCTTCTTTCAGCTTGAGGGTTTCAACCTGCAGTCTTTAGAGCTGTCTGGAAATATTAACATTCAGCAAATTTGGCACAATCGGGTTCCAGAAATGTCTTCTCTTGTTCGAAATCTAAAAGTGTGTATTGTGAAGGGCTGTGGTAGTTTAAAATATCTATTGACATCCTCTATGGTTAAAAGTTTAGTGAATCTTGAAGGCCTCGTTGTTGAGAATTGTAAGATGATGGAAGGGGTAATAGTCGCAGAAGAAGGATTTGCGGAAGAAGTCACGACCCAGAAGATATTTTTCCCTAATTTGCAATCCTTGGCACTTTTTGACCTTCCCAAACTCAAAAGATTCTGTTCTGGAAATTACATCGAATTCCCTTGCCTTACAAGACTTTATATAATAGAATGTCCTCTATTGAAGGCGTTCACCTCTAGCCCTGTTATTGGAGACACAGTAGTCAGTACAGAGAAAGCTGAAAACACCTCCACACCACTTCTATTTGATGCAAAGGTGATTTCTTCTTATTGTTTTTCCCTGTCTCACATTAATACTATTACAGTTTCACCTCTTAAAGCCTTTCCTGTTTTAATTGGATTCTAAAGTTGAGTTTTTGTCTTTCTTATGCTGATAAGTTATTACTGCTATTAATAAATTCTTTAGGTGGCACTCCCTATGCTAGAGTCTCTAATAATCAATCAAATGAGGAGCTTGGACAAGATATGGCACAACCAACTTGATGCAGACTCATTTTGCAAACTAAAAGACCTTGCTGTAACTGACCGCGAAACACTAGAGAGCATTTTCCCATTTAGTATGCTGGAAAGACTTCAGAGACTAGAAAAACTGTTGATTAGGAGATGTGATTCACTAGAAGTGATATTTGAACCTCAAGGACATATTGCTATCTATTCACAAGCTCTGGTAGCCAGTCAGCCAACTTTGGTAGAAACTGAAACCAAGTTGGTACTTCCAAAATTGATAGAACTGAGGCTTGGAAGCCTACCCAAGCTCAAGGGCTTCTGCCATCCAGTACACTTTATATCTTTGAGGAATCTGCAGGATCTAGAAGTATCAACATGTCATGGACTCGTAAGTTTAATGAGGTATTCAACAGCTAAAAGCTTGGTGCAGCTCGCAAGAATGAGTATAAGTGATTGCGATATGATAGGAGAAATTGTGTCATGCATTGATGATGAGGTGAAGGATGGCGTTGTCTTCAGCCAACTCAAGTATTTGCGACTGAGCCATCTACCAAGACTAGCAACCTTCTGCTCAGTGGGCTGCAACTTTGAGTTTCCATCTTTGGAAGACATAATTGTGATGGGTTGTCCAAATATGCAGCTTTTCTCTAGGGGAGAATTAAGCACACCAAAACTGCAGAAAGTAAAATTTATAGAAGAAGATGATGGAGCGCGCTGGGAAGGGGACCTTAACACCACTCTGCAACGATTGTTTATGGAAAAGGTATGTGTTGATTCAAAAGATTTTCTTTAGCTTTTTGTTTCTTATTTTTACGTTTTCTTTACTTCATCTTGATTATCCTGTTAAAGTAAATAAAATTTGATGAAAAGTTGTGGTAACTTCATTATATTATTTTTAATGATAAACCTGTATCCTACCTGCGGTTCTTACTTTCACCGTCAGTTTGTTATTCCTTACGGTCACAGAGCATTGATGGCTCCAATGAAGACTGAACTTATGCAAACTTTTTACTTATTTGCTTATTTTCCAACTTAACAGCGTTATTTTAATGAGATAACAGAGAACTGGACATAAAAATTTAGCAGAAACTAACGTTGATTAACTGAAGAACCTCAAATGCTCACTTTTTCTATTTTTCTAAATATTATTTAATGAACAAAGATTTTGGATATTCTTTATCTATCTAGGCCAAGAATTTTATTTGATATTAAACTTCAGAAAAAACTATTTTGGGCCCACTTCTAATTTTTTTTTTCATATGTGCCACATCATCAACATAATGTGATGAACAACAAAAACGTTAAAAGAATGTTTATAGCTAAATTTTCAAATTTTAACTGAGGGTGGCCAATTAAGTTAAAAAGGACGATCAAAGTGAGTGAGCATGCAAATAGTCCACTCTTCAAAGACACTAGTGCCATGATGAAATCACATTTGAAAAAGGTAAGGAATAGTTCACGTTTCTCCAATTTATTTTCAACAAGTGGAAGTAGGTGTTTTTTTGTTTTTTTTTTTTGTTTTCCCTCGTACCGTTACTAGCATTGTTGTAATTGTTATTTGGTTCTTGTGCCATTAACTAGTTATTTGTTGAATCCTGCAGGTTGGATACCATGGGTTGGAAAATTTGAAGATCTCTGAGTTTGAGCTTGTTGATCAGGCAATTATTGAAATTTGGAACAAGAATCCTAGAGAGAATCTACCTTTTAGAAATCTTAAATCTTTAGAAGTTTCTGGTTATAGCAGCTGGAGATACCTTTTAACCCCTTCTATGGCATTGGGCCTTGTGAAACTCCAAGATTTAAGAGTCTCAAATTGTGCTACAATGGAGCATGTGATAACGGGAGATGGAGCTGATGAGGTGTTTCCTCAGCTAAATTCCATCAATTTGGAGTCTTGTTCTAACCTGACATGTTTCTATGAGGGAAGCAGTACGCTTAACCTTCCATCTTTGGAAGAAATCACGGTGGCTAACTGTACAGCAATGGTTACCTTTGTCTCTGGGTCTTCAAAAGAGCAAGACAATGTAAGTACTTCTGATGGTGCAGGAAGTGAAGAAAGGCATGATATCCCTATTCAACCATTTTTCAGCAATAAGGTCAGTTATATTCTAGAAATAATTTACTATACATAGTATTTATTGGCATTTTTTGTGCTGATGCTGTTGTT